TTTGATTTTGAATAAAATGTAAAATTATCATTTTAAAAGTGAATGATGAAATACTTTATTTAACGAAATGCGAAGGATATTTTAGAAACCAAGTATGTCTTATGAAAGGTCTATTGTGGACCACTGTTGCTAGCCTCACAAGCAAGACTCAATTATTAGTGTAATGGTGTACACTGATATATAGTCTATAAGAGAAGGTCTCTATGTATTGTAATAAGTTCACCATGGACCAGGGGTCCAAAAGGGTGTCAGAAAAATTATTTGGATCAATTTTGTTTCATTTGCACAGGATGTAACTCATTTTATTTAGAATGTAACTTATTTTCAACAACTTATAAACATAGAATAAAATTTTGTGGATCTCATATATGGTGTTAAAATTGATTTACAAGATGTTATTTGATCCTAACATTTTTTTTAACCAAATCATGACGGTCAAGCATTCTGGAGAGTTGCCTCCTGCAACAGTCCTTGCCTCAAACTCAGTTCAACATAGTTTTAATGGTTTTGAGTAGGCGGTATCGTTCTCGAGTTTGATTTGAAAGTTCATGGAGCAACACGATTTCAGCTCTGAGTTAAGCAATTGTGGAATTGAATCCTTTGTAAATGAGAAAGTCCCGGCTTGCCAAGGGAAAAGGGTTTTTGCAATTTCAATCCATGGAGGATTTCATTAGTTTGAATCTAGTATTAATGTTTTGGGTAAAACGCACTTACCCCTTGTGATTTAGTAATATTTTATATAATCCCTTTATAGTTTCAAAAGTTATATATTACTCTCTCATAGTTTAAATTAAAGTGTTAAAGTAACAGAAATGATCATTTGTAATGGAATCCATGAAAATGTTGAAATTACTCTTGTTTAAAAACTAAATTGGTTGAAGTGACCAAAATATATAAACATAATATGTATGATACTTTAACCTCGTATGATTTTATGGTTTATCATATAACTCCTTTATGATTTAGTGATTTACCATATAATCCCTTTATGATTTTTAAAATATATATATAAACTCTCGTGGTGAATAAATAATTTTCAACTTTACATAGGGGTACTGTTGATATTTTAGTTGACTCCATTATAGAATACAAATTCCGTCATTTTGGTACTTTAATCCAAATCATGAGGTGTTATGTATAGCTTTTAAAACTATATGGGAGATTATGCGAAAAAGTGCTAAATTACATGAGGGTAAAGTGTATTTTTCCCTAATGTTTTGTTCATATGGTCATTTCTTTCGCTACTTATAAATTTTATCTTGGGCTAAAGAAATGGGTCAAACAGTTGTACTCCACGAACACCAGAAGTTAACTGATTATATGTACTACAGTATTGTGATTTTTGTAGGATTGGGCAAGGTTTTTTTGTATGATTTTCAACATGCAATATAGCATGGATTATGAATCTCTTGCCAGGATATCATTGCAAAAGGTTCTTCGATAATTACTGAGAGGTTCAACAACATAGGAATCAATATGTTTGACCGCTAAATATTTTATGATCCAAATTCAAGAGAGCAATAGTTTTCTATAATTATTTAAATGCTTTAGTGAAATTTATTTTTACTGGAAAGAAGTGCTCCACTAAAAGTCTAAAACGTCTAAGTTCAACTGGAGAATGAAGACTACAGGCTCATGTCTCATTTCTCAGAACAATATCTGAAATTATTATTAGCTAATTATGTTAGCTCAACGAACCTATTGATTTTTAGTTGAAATTCTGTTAAACTTGGATTCTGTTTGATAACCCAATTTAACACTTAAATTTAATGGATTCATAGCTTATTATGTTCAGATGCGTCCGATAACTAACACTAAAACATATGGATTAATTAAGTGGCAATGAATTTCCTATGCAAAACTTGTTCTAAAAAATAAGTGATAAGTGAATATCACTTAATGTGATATACACTTAAATGTATCAAATTTAGTATTTAACAATTTAGTAATTAATGGATTTAAATTTAGACCTCAGATTTCATTCAAGTTTCAATTTTATCAAACACACCCTTAACGAAAACACTCCTATTTTCTAAATCGAAAATTGAAGAATGCTATGGATTGCTCATCTCTCCCCACCTTACTTGAAAGAAAGAGGAAAATAAAAATCTTAGTACAAATACTTAATTTAACGGCTTTAGTAAGTTTTTTTTTTTTGAAGATTAGGCTCTTGATATTAGCAAGATAAGATGGAATTTACACATATCTTTGAGAATAATGCTACTGTTATCTTTGACCAAAAAAATAACACTAGTCAGTACCAAGTTCAATTGTTGACAACTCTAGTTGTTAGAATTGTATGACATTTTTGTTAAACTTCAATGGCAGCATAGGAGAATTAGAGAAGAGAAAAATTATAATACGACCACAATATTGAATACAATAGTCTAATTTAAAATTTTGGAAAGAGGATGACTAATTTACTCAATACTGATGAAAATTTCAATAATATACGCTTTGTTCTTGCTTTGGCTGGCTCAACTGGACGGTTCAACTGGTTTAACTATAAATTGATACTAATTGGTTTTTTAACCAAACCAATACCAAAAAGAAGGCCGACCAGCCAATTTGGACTAGGTTTTATAACATTGATTTTGAATAGACAATTATTATTCTTGAGTTTGATTTGAAAATTCATAAAGCTACTCGAATTCAGCTGAAGTAATTGCGGAATTGAATCCTTTGTAAATAAGGAAGTATCGGTCTGTCAAGGGACAAGGGTATTTGCAATTTAGTCCACGAAGGATTTCATACGTTTGAATCTAGCATTATTACTGTTTTGACCATATGGTCATTTCTTTTACTAGTATCATTTTTGTTTTTTATTTTTGTCAAAGAAATGGGTCGAACACAGACTATATGTACTTCACGAAGACCAAGTTAACTGATTATATGTACTATAGTATTGTGATTTTGGTAGGACTGGGAAGGTATCATTTCCAAAATGCAATATAGCATGGATTATGAATCTTTTGGTATGATATTATTGCAAAAGTTTCTTTGATAATTACTTTGAGGTTTGACAACAAAGGAATCAATATATTTAACCTTTAAATATTTTATGATCCAAATTCAAGAGAACAATTACCAACTTACTCTAGAGGAGTTGGCCATCACATGAATTGTGCATTGGATGATCAAAGATTCAAATTTTACCTCTCATCAATGTGCCACTATATGTAGTTTCTTCTAAATCTAGACGGGTGCGTGGTGCACTCATCTGGTGCAACGGTAGTTCAGTCCCCGTCGGTTCTCTCAGTTCTGTTGGGCCACTCCTCCTTCCTCCTAGAGTAGGACTAGAAGTAGGAGTAGGTTAAATTAAGCTAAATGTGCCATTACGGAAAAAAAAATTCAGGAGAACAATAGTTTTCTATAATTAATTAAATGCTTTAGTGAAATTTATTTTACCTGAAAGAAATGCTTCACTAAAAGTCTAAAACATCTAAGTTCAACTAAAGAATGAAGACTAAAGTCTCATGTCTCATATTGACCTTTAAATATTTTATGATCCAAATTCAAGTGAACAATAGTTTTCTATAATTATTTGAATGCTTTACTGAAATTTATTTTACTTGAAAGAAATGCTTCACTAAAAGTTTAAAACGTTGAAGTTCAAATGACTAAAGTCTCATGTCCCATATTGACCTTTAAATATTTTATGATCTAAATTCAAGAGAACAGTAGTTTTCTATAATTATTTAAATGCATTAGTGAAATTTATTTTACCTGAAAGAAATGCTTCACTAAAAGTCTAAAACATCTAAGTTCAACTGAAGAATGAAGACTAATGTCTCATTTCTCATTTCTGAGCAAACATGAGAAAAGAATTTCGTAGTCCAAAGAATCAATAACGAATTATAGCATTGTAGCACTTTTAATAGTATGATATATGTAAGATAAAAAAGGTTAAAAGTTATATTTATGAAGTTAAATAAAAAAAATTTTTTTTTTTACAAATATTGTAGCCTAATGGAATTATAGCATTGTAGTACTTTTAATGGTATGACATACATAAGATAAAAAAAATGGTTAAAAGTTATATTTATGAAATTAAACAATGTTTATTTATTTATTTTTGCAAATATTGTAGCCTAATGGACTCATTGGTTTTAAGTTGAAACCTGTCCCTTTTTTTTTTTTGTTGACTGGACAAATCTTATTCTATACCTATTCCTACTTTACATTAGGACGATGGGATGGACCCAAAACGATCAATGAAGCACTTAAAGGAGACTGAACTGCCACGAGATTAGACAAATACTTATGTATCGGCTGATGAAATTTTCAAGAAATTCTACAAAGAAGAATGCAAATCAAGAAATTTGATCTTTTGATCTACAACCAGAGAGAGCATTAAGCCTATCTTTGGTGCCCAAATATTCTAGTAGTAGTTGGTTCACTTGAAACCTGTCCAACTTAAAGAAAAGTCTCTCGTTCTCCTCTATCGAATAAGAGCGCTATGGATTGGTCATCTCTCCCTACTTTGCTTGAAACAAGAGACGAAAATAAAAATTTTTGTACAAATACTTAGTTTAACAGTAAGTTTTACCAAGTCAATAGTCAGTACCAAGTTCAATTGTTGGCAACTCTTTGTTAGAACTGTATGACATTTTTGTTGAACTTCAATGGCGGCACAGGAGAACTAGAAAGGAGAAAATTTATAATACGACCTAATATTAGATATTGCAGTTTAATTTAAAATTTTGGAAAGAGGATGACTAATTTACTCAATACTGATGAAAATTTCATAAAATGTACCAAGTAGAATGTTTGATGGGCATGCAGATCTCACGAATCTAGAATTAGTACAAATAATGTTAGTCGTTGTTTCACTTGTATTAGGTACCTATTTTTATATAAAAGCCTTTAACAATAAGATCATCATTTAGACTTTACTGTTATGATTTGTTTGTGAACCCAAAGCATGGGTGGCTAATTAACAAACCACTGGATTAAGCAGTTTCGCAGTATCAGGTGATATTGACAAGCCGACAGAGATAACAAAAAATGATTACTTGAAGAGGAAAAGTAATAAGAGTTCTAAATTCTCTCCATCAAATGCCAAACTAAAAAAGGGGTAGGAAATCTTACAAATATGGTCTCTAGACATACTTTTACTCACTGTAAAAGATGAAGAAAACGTACTATCAGGACTTGTCACATTCTGATACACCAAAAGTATGAAATGCCAGCTTTTAAAGTGTGTTAATTCTTCACAAAATATGCACACATCTACTGAAAAGAACGTTTTCCCTCCTCTTCCTTGGACCTTTGTACAAATCAAGACTTCTTGTATCTGCATTTCTCTCACTGCTCCAAATTGATTGTTTATCCAATTTATTGTCTCTACTGTCACAAACATCCAACTTCTTTACCAACAAGTCCATCAGTCTAATTTGCCTAAAATCAGCTGCGCACCTTGATAGGTCTCCAGTATCAGCTTCCATGCTCGGATGATGCTCCCCTCTCTTTGTTCTTCATCCATGTCACACTCTACAAGCCTGTTACTAGCCATTTTCAGTTCAGCAATCAGCAAAAGAAATAAAAAAAGTTTTGGTAATTGATTTACTAAATACATATCAAGAAAGCAGATCAGAAATTATTAAAACTGCCCTAAGGACGTACAAGCTAAATTATTACCTTCAAACCCTGTCTGGTTAATGAAAATAACTTCTGTCCCTTGGCACTCTAGTCAGAAACGCAACGGCAAACGGTGGTGTCCTTTGTCCAATAACACGAGGTCTGCTTCCTAAGACTCTGGAATAAACATCATATTAATACATTTCAGAACAGGTTCCAGATTCTTTCACAATCACAACACATGTTAAGCACCAAATAAACATAAAAATCTTCAAGAGCAAAAGATAAGCTATGTGGCACAGGGTAAACATTCAACAACAAATAAAAGTGCAGAAAAACACACTGTTTTCTTGCCAATTACATGACTTAAGCATACCAGAATGCAAACTTATAGTTCTTGGGGAGAGAAGTGCTGCATTATCACTTTTGTGCACCACATACCTCCTGAGCTCTTCTTCTTCAGCAGCAATGGGAAACAACATGAAGCTGATATTTGAGCACCATCATTCCTTGCATTTTTCATCTGCAAGGTTACAATACAGTAATCCAGATCACTGAACAGAAAATCAAGGCAATTGTGACTTATAAACTTTCCAAACTTGTGAAAGATGATAAACAATTATCCAACATTTTTGTCATTGAAAAGAAAAAGACATTATTGTCATTGATATGAAGCATGCAGTATCAATTATAAGGGGTGAATGTTCACAGGACTCTAGTTCCTCCACATACATATTTGAAGTTCAATTAGACTGATCTAATTTTATGGCAATAAGTACACAGTTCCAAAGAACAGCAAATTGTATCATGAGTTTTCTGTGAAAATCATTTCTCAACTAGCTTTAATGTTATCCATTGAGACTGGCAATATCAGTGACAGAAAAATTAAGAATGTGTCCATGTACATCTAGCATTGCAAATCAAATGAAACATTTTGTACCACATTCAAACGAAGAGGCTAATTGGATGTGAACCATTGCTAATAAATTTGTGCTCGGCCAAATAGAATGTAACAAGTTGCACTTAAAGAGATTTAAGATGTTTCAATCTTTCAGTAGTTCAGAGAGGCAGAGAAAACACAGAATTTTGGTCTCTTTCAATTTGTTCAGCAATCAGCATGTTACACCAAAGGGAAAAAAGAAGTTTTGGTAATTGATTTACAAAATACATATCAAGAATGCAGATAAAAACTATCAAAACTGCCCTGAAGATGAACAAGCTAAATTATTACCTTTCTTTCTGCAGCCCGAGCAGGAGATGAGTAAAAAATTATGTTTGGGAGACCTGGGGAGAACCACCTATTGGCGAAGCCTCCATCAAAGCTAGCGCTCTCTGATGTGCAAAATTCTCATCATTGATTGCTAACTTCATCTTCAAACCTGTCTAATGAGCGAAAATAACTTCTGGCCCCTGGCAATCTTGTAAGAAATGCAACAGCAAAGGGTGGTGTCTTTGTCCAACAACATGAGGTCTGCTTTCTAAGACTCTGGAAAATACCATCGTAATGTTACATTTCAGTATGAATTTAGTTATGACAGCTAAGGAATGCAAAGAAAAGGCATGGTCTAGTAACCAGTACAAGAAAATGGAAAAAACCAGCGTCTTTCACAATCAAATGACATGTTAGGCACCTAGTAAATGTACAATCTTAAAGATTAAAAACTAAGCTATATAGCATAGGACAAAAGTTCAAAGTACATGAAAGTGCAGAAAAACACCCTGTTTTCACTCAAGCATACTTTGATAAAAACTTGCACCAATTCCCTTGTATTTTTAATAAATTGGGTGGAGGTTTAAAAGAGTTATTGGGGAGAGAAGCTGATGTTTGAGAACCATCATACCTCCTGGTTTCTCCTTCTTCAGCAACGATGGGAAACAACATGAGACTGATGTTTGAGCACCATTATTGCCTTCTTGTTCGCTGTCACCACTTGTCTACAAGGTAACAATACAGTAATTCAGCTCACAAAACAAAAAAGCAAATGTACGAACTTGTGGAAGATGATAAACAACCATCCCATATTATTGTCATTCTTATGAAGCATGCATCAGCAATTGTAAGGGGTGAAGGTTTGCAGCACTCTAGTTCCTCAACAAACATATTTGAACTTCAAGGAGACTGATATAATTTCATGGCAATAAGAACATAGAGTCCCAAAGAACAGCAAATTTTCTTCACAACTATTTCTTGATTAGCTTTAATGTCGTCCATTCAGACTGGCAATATCAGTGACAAAAAAATGACGAATGCTTGCATGTACATCTAGCATTGCACATCCAATGAAACATTTGCTAACACATTCAAACAGAGAGGCTCTAATTGTGTATGCACCGTTGCTAATAATTTCATGCTTGGCCAAATAGAAGGTAACAAGTGTGAGCTTTAGATAGGAAAATCTCACCAGATCACTTGAAATATACTCCTTCAAGTGGACGCCTCTTTGGGGAGTGTATCGTTGTCTTAACAGAGGACACCAATAAACTTCAACATGATTTAACTTTGTGAGTCGTCGCATGGCAGCCTCGGATGGTAAAGATCGAAGCTTGTCGCAATCCCATAGCTCTAGGGTTTCAAGGGACACAAGGTTTCCAATCCAATCCGGTAGCACTTCTATTCCTCCAAAGTTGTCCAGACTTAGTGAAGTGAGGGTAGTCAAGTATTGAAGCTGGTGTGGCAGGGACTCCGTGTGAGGTAACCCTTCTAATCGAAGCTCACGGAGTGTTGATGCAGATCTTAAACCAGACCAATCAAAATCATCGACTGAGGAGTCATCTGAGGAGAAGGGACTGTTGATGCTCAATTCTCTTAAGCTGGTGGCAAAAGCAAATCCTTTCAAACTATGAGGGATCAATTTGGGACAGGTGTCTAAGACGAATTTCTCGAGAGAAGGCGTCTCCTGCAAATTAAGCGAAAATGATACCAGATTGGGACAACACTTCACCGACAGGGACCGCAGAGACCGGCATGACTGGAACATTTTGGCGGATATAGTGGTCAACCCTTCGCAATCATCAATACTCAATTCCTCAAGGCATCGTAAAAGGGGGCATTTCTGTCCATTTACTCCTAGACTAATTAATCTTGGGCACCTTTCGATCGTCAACCGCCGCAAACTCGATCCAAACAGATCCAGATCTGGCAGCTCCCTAAGATTGTCGCAAGAGTGGATCCTCAACTCCTCAACAGAAGCAGTGTCGTAACCGGTTTTTATACTTGTTAGATTATGGCAACTCCTCACGTATAGGCCTTTACACGAGCATGAAAGAGTGGTCAGTTGTGGGCAATTTTGAATGTTAAAATTCCTCAGCATGGGAAGGGCATCTGCTTCTGCTTCACCTACTGTTAACCTCACTTGGTCTGCACCTTTCCACTCTACCAAATTCCCCATATCTTCTACCCAGAGTTCTTCAAGGGCAGGAAAGAATTTGCGTCTTCTAGTGCTGCTCCCTGATGCTCGTGATCTGCCCTCCTCCTCCTCCTCCTCATTAGCAGTAATACCGTAGAATTCATCTCCAATAAATCGAATGTTGTCCAATCCCTCCAAATGGAGATGTTTGAGGACTGGCAGTTGTCCTAATGAGGGGAGTTCACTGCATCTCTTGCAGTTTTCTATCCACAATGTCTCCAATTTTGACAAATTGATAAGCCATTGTGGAAATTTATTACCCATGAAATATTGAATTTCCAACATTTCCAAATTTGGGTGAGGTTGGAGACCTTCCAACACATCCTCCTCACGGTTATCGCTTTCCCGATCCCCACTCTTCCATTCAAACAGCAAGCGAGACAGATCTGGCTTTTCGAACAATTTTGCTTGTTTAGCTGCTTCTTTGCCCTTCACTAGTCCAAGATTTCTTATCCTCAACGATCCTTTCAGATATTTCAAGGTCCCAAGCTCTTCGATACCACAACCCTCCTCCTGACTTACATTAAAGAACTCTAGAGTTTGAAGACAAGTCAATCGTCCCATCTGCATTGGCATTTTAAATTCTGCACGACGATGATAGTAGTTTAGATGTCGCAAGCTAATCAAATCCCTCATCCGTTTTGGAAAACCTCCTTCAAATTCACCATATCTCATAGTTAGTGTCTGCAAATTATATAGCTTGCAAAGAGATTCCGGCAAACTTCTGATTCTAGAAGATGAAATGTCGAGCAACCGCAAATGTAGTAGTTTGCCAATGGAGCTCGGTAGAAACTTGACATCATCGCCGGACAATCTGAGAACATTCAAGCACTTGAATCTTAAAAGCATGTTCATGTCAGTAGATACGCCACCCTCTACATGGAGAAATAACGTGCGAATTGATGCTGGTATTGTCCTTATGGTATTTTCTTCCAAACCTTTAGAAGAGTCCAATGCAAGGTAGCGATCCTGATTGCTGCTTTCTGGATTAAGAATTGATTTTGCAAAATCATGCACGAGATCGTGCATTTTATAGTACGTTCTCCACGACTCTTCGACTTTTTCCAGCAAGGAATTTTGCAACAAAATCCTCAAATACTTGCCTCCTGTTTCCTCCATCACTCTATTATTTTTCTGATCTGGTAGAACAAAACCTTTAGCAACCCAGTGCTGAATTAGTTCATCTTCCCCCAATTCAGTGTCCTGGGGAAAAATCGAGCAATATGCAAAACATTTCTTAACTGATGCAGGTGATAAATGATCAAAGCTCACCTTAAGTATTTGATTAATTTGGCTTTGATATTCATTCAAAAGACTCTCTTCCACAATGAGACCCTCTTCCACAATAGATTGCCACTCCTCTTTTCCACTGTTAAGCAACAAACTTCCAATTAACTTTGCTGCCAAGGGTAGGCCATCGCATCTCCCTAAAATTTGCTTCTTCAATGCTTCCAATTCTTCTGGTACTTCTTCCCCTGCACTCATCACCTTTCCTTTTATGATGGACCAGCACTCATCACGTGATAGCTTTCCTAAGAAATAAGGACCGCTATTCATCTTCAAATGTGTAGATACAACATCAGCCACTGGTACCCGACGAGTGGTGAGAAGACACCAGCTTCCTTTGGTTTCGTTGAGTCCCATCAAAGTGTTGAAACAGTCATCCCACAATCCTTGATCATGATCCCACACATCATCAAGAACAAGGAAATATCTTTGTCCCTTGAGCTTTTCTCCAATTTTTTTAACGATAACCTCTCTGTCATCCACTTTAACTTCGTCTTGTGTCAATTGTACTAAAATGAGCTTGAACAGCTCCATTATCTTAATGTGTTCTTTAGCCACACAAACCCAAATTTTTTGGCCAAAGTGCCCATCTATTTTTGGATTATTGTAGACTGATTTCGCCAGAGTTGTCTTTCCCAAACCTCCCGAGCCTGTTATGGGAATAACAGAAAGAACCTTTTCAGATGGGCTCGATAACATGTCCACAATCTTTGACTCGTCGCCGGATCTTCCTACAACGTTCGGAATGACAATAGAGTCGGTCTGTCTGGCACCAACGGCATCAGCAGGGAGTGCAGCTTCAATTTGGTACTTAATGACCAATCCCAACTCATTGGCTCGCTGGTTGATCCTTTCTAGGTTGGTGTTGATGTCCCGGATCTTTGAAGCTAAGCTGGAACTAAAGCCAATTGCATTAAAGAAGGAGAAGAAGAAGCATACCTTCTTCTTCATTGGTTGATTTCGGTACTTCACCTCCCGACGAAGATTGTCGTAGTTGAGCTCGTCTAGCACGGTATCAGCTTTAAAAACCTCATCCTCTAGCTCCTTGAGCCAACCTCGCACCCCTTGGCTATGCATTTTCTCGTCAGCATCAGCCAGGAAACCTTGGATCGTTGCAGTAGTTTTGCCTAGTCTCTCCAACTCCGCTTTGACCCCGAGAACCATACCAACACGGTCCGCGGCAATGGAAATGACTGTCCCCAAGACGACCTTAACAGTAGCACTGATAGCAGCGTCAGCCATTGTTTCTTGCTTGGAATTGGAACTAGGATCGACAGGTTTCTGATATCAGAGATGGAAGGAATGTTTCGACAAAAAATCGTAGAAATCAGAATAGAAGCCCAGAACAAGAAAGAGATGAGTTAACGATTCCTGTGTGAGATTCAGATTAGTATAATTGCGATTAATGTAACACAGTGTACAGAACTCAAAAGAGCTGACTTTAACTAAAACTGATTGAGGGGCTGGCAACAGGAGACACAGATCTGAAATGTCGCCCTGATTAATCAATTTATTCTGCTTTATCTACCTATTTCATTTATTCAATCTGGCTGGTGGCATTAGAATATGCCTGGTGGCTACTTCCTCGAAAATGCATCTTCCTACTTTGCATTTTTCTTTTTCTTTTTTCCCTCAATGTTTATTTGTTATTCACACTGCAAAGAATCTTCTCAATTACTTAAACAATTAAGCCAACTCTTCTTGAATACTTCAGCTTCTTCCTCATAAATGCACCTCACAAATACACCAAGAAAGAAAGGCCTTTCCAACTTGTTCATTCCATTTCAGTGTTTGGTATAATTCATTTAAGTGGAAAAGTTCTTTTTTCCTGAAATGCTCATTCTAACTTTTTCTAGAATCCCATTCCTCAAAAAAAAAAAAAAAAAAAATCTAGGGAAAGCTCTTTTCTCCTTCATCCTTGGATATCCAATTTATCGTCACAAGTCTACTGCATCGCCATATCTTAAGCTATTTATAAACTCAATTAATATTTGAATGTAATTATTGTAATAATTAATTTTCCTTGTACTTAGAATAATATTTTTCTTTTATACTAGGAAACAAATGTTTTAAGATACTTTATTCTTTGATTTTTGAACAACTGTTCAAGAATCTTTTTTGAATCTCATATTAAAATTGAAAATAGATTCAAAATAAATTATAATTGTCTAACTTCATGTAATTTACATTTTACGCTACTATTGATATTGGTAATAAACGAAATTTAACTTGAATCTTCACTACAATTGAAGAATTTTGATATCAATCCTCATTTATTTTTAAATAAAGATATCAAAATTTCACGTAAATAGACAAATGCTATTGTAGACCAAATAAAACAAAAAAAAAAAAGAAGATATATTATGTCCTATAAACTAATCTATGGTAATTAAATCAAATTTGTATTTAGTATATTCCATTCTAACATCTAAAAATGGATTATACCAAAAATTGGAAATTGAGTAAATATTCCATTCTAACTTGTATATCGAACCCTGGAATAGTAACTTTTTTCCCTACCATCCTGGTGGATACATATTCTGGTCGAAACCCTTTCTATTCCGTGCATTTCCATGTACCAAACAAGGGGTAATATCAAAGAAAGAGAGACAGTTTTAAGGCTACATTAAGATGAGGCCATCATTCTTGGCTTGGTCAATTGCTTGTGATTTCTTCATTAAGAAATTCTATCTGCCAGTAGCACATTAAGATGAGGCCATGTTACTAGCTTTGGTCAATGGCTTGTGATGCTGGCGGCCTTTATTTATTTAAGAAATTCTGTTTACTAGTACTATATAGGATGCACTAGGTATGAACTATTTTAGATATCGATTAGTAAAATAAATAAAAGTCTGATTAACAAAGAAGTGAAAATGGTCTATGACTTCTTCACATCAATTTTTTAGGAAAATGGTACCTTTTTTTTAACCAGTTTCTTCTATTTGTTCAAATTGAAAACCGAAAAAGTGATTTGATGAAACTGAAATTAAAGTAATTAAAGACAAGGCAGCACTTCTTCAGAAAATTTGGACGAATTGACTTCGAAACTGCACTAAAGGAAATCCTATTTAGTAGTAATTTTCAGTGGTACTATCAGTAAAATAAATAAAAACTTGTTTAAATCAAAAGTCATCTTGCTAAACATATTTGCAGTGGATGAAATTAATTAGAATATAATTAATTGATATTTGCTAATTATTAAGAAAAATATAGTTACTAATTAGTAAATTACCTGAAAAAAAAAGGCAAGCGAGTAATGCACTTTATATTTGTTTATGAAATCTTCGTCAGAACTGAAAAAACAAAAGCAAGTAAGTAATATATTGTAAAAAAAAAAAAATGAAAGGAATACATGTTTTAGATGTTGCCTGGTCTGGAAAACATGCACAAGTGTAATTAATCAATTTATGCTTGTTCATCTCTGTAGGTCAATTAATTGGATGCCTGGCGGCTAGTTCCTGAAGATGCATCTTCTTAATATGCCCCTTTTTTTTTTCTTATTGTTAACTTATCGTTTAAAATATAAAAAATCTTTATTACGCAAATTATTAGGGCAAGTAACAGAAAAATGAGAAGGGATTAGGAAAAAAAAATGGTGTGTGAAGGGATCAGGACTTCATCATTTCATCAAGCAACTTCTTGGTTACATTAGACTAATTGAGAAACAAAATCACTAGACTTGGTGGACTAAGATAAGTTTGTTGGATTAAAGTAGAAAATTTAACAAAATTAATTTGAAGAGAAAGAAAAGCAATTTATTTGGTATGATCCGTGTTAATTGGGAAATTGTCAATGCTTTTAAGTGTAGGTAGTTTAGAAACTAAAGTTTTAAAGAGTCAAAAGAGTGCTTCTTTTGTGTGTTTAGTAATTAGTATTTTGATTTGGTTCCTTTTGAATTCTCCAGTGTCACTTGAATACTATTTATATTTCCACAAAGAGCTAAAAGTATCAGACCAACCAACACCGCAGACTACCTTTTCTTCTTCTCCTTTTCCTTGGACTGATGGCTTCTATATAGCTTGCTGGATTAACTCGATTTGCTCGAAACAATATAAATGAAGCACTACTCTATTGCTATCAATAACAAATTTTTGTCTTCCCTTAGATTTGACTCACCTGAATTAGAATTTCAAGTGATTTGAAGGTTATTTGTGGTATTATTTGAGTTGTACTTTTAGCTTTTTGATTCACTTCTATTCGCTTTATGTCATTTTATGAATAATTTTCATTTTTTTTCAGTTTTTCTTGTTATGAAGGGTTGCTATTAATAATAATGATGGATTGTATGGGCTATTTCAGATTTCCTTTTTCTTCAGTTTAATATTGTTATTTCAGTTATATGAAGGTGTCTAATTTTTTGTATATTGAAAGTCCTTTGTGTGCAACATAAAAAGTTCTTCCCCTTTTGAATTGGATGTGTACAACTCATATAATTCATTTGACAAATATTTCTCAAACCATTTCACTATTTATAACTTTAAGGAGATTTTTCTTTCTAAATCACTATGGTATGATGCAATATAGTGATTGTAATAATTAGAAATTCATAATTAAACTTTAACCCATACTTAAGATTGTATGAAACTTAACCACAAGTTAAGAAGGGCATAATTCAAATAACACAAAATAAGATCATAACAATGCTTACACCCACACTCCAAAATACCAAAACTCATTGTCCTTTTATATAGATTATAGATATAGATAGATAGATAGATAGATATAGATGTGGATATAATAGAAGGATAGATAGAGAGATTATCAAATTTAAACACTTGGTGTGTTGTTTGGGTTTTACACCTTGGCCCTTTGTGATAGGGTATAATTTGTTAGTATTTTTATTATTAATTTTCCCTTCTATCCCTGACAAATATTGTGTTAATTGCTGATATTTACTCATATTTGGTATTTGGAATCAATTTCAGGAATGAAGCAGAAAACTACCAAAAAGGAGGGATTTTGTGAAAAATATGGAGACTTCTAAGGGCTTCAATCCTTGGGCCCTTGAATTGGTGGGGGACCACAAGCTAGTGAAAGGCATTTGGCCATTTGGGCTTCAAAGAAAACAACGTAGAGAGACTTGGAACAAGAAGTACTTGGGAGGCTTTGTCCACATGTGTGGGGACCATCTAGATAGCTTTTAGTCATCTTTCTTTTGTTGCTTTAAAAGGGGACAACGTACAGAAGCAAAAGATATCTAGGGCTTTAGTTTTAGTTTTTTAGTTTAGTTCTAGTTTCTTTTCTTTGGACTGGCCTCTGACACACGCCAGGTGTTCGACAATATTCCCCAACGGGGAGATTTTCTCATGAGGCGTGATTAAGCTTTTCTAGTCAAGGGGACAACTGACGATTTGGTTCGACAATTACTGTGAGATCGAATCTGTTTTAATTATTTTCTTCATTTATTGGTATTTATATGTTTCTTGATTTTAATTGCTATGGCCTTGTGTATGATTGATTAGTGCGCAATAATTAATTATTCATATAGGCTATTTTTGCTAAATAGGGGTAATTGAATCCGTAATTGTTCGTTATCTCTATCTCAGTAGCAACTGGCGTAATTGAGTTTATGTCAGGGGAGCATATGATCTAATTTAAACAAACCCTCGTAGCGTGTTTGTTGGTTAGGATTGGGCCTTTCTAATTATTAATGCAATCTAGAAATTAAATCCTACGGTCGTACCTAGGGTTATTATTGGGTTAGAGAAATAGCTAACGGTCGTACCTTAGCTATCGAGAAATTAAGGAAGGGTTGGTTGTTTATCGCGTGCATGACAACTATAACTAATCTATTGCTAAATGTTGGAATTATTTCTGCATCAATGATCAGTGCATGAACCATTTCTGATGTGTACGCTTGGCTAGAGTTTCCCCAATCATTTCTTTTAATTAATTATTTTCTGCAGTTAATTTATTTAGTTAGCATTTAATCCAAAACCCCCCATACTTTGGACTCTAGAAGAAACAAATTATCCCCAGTCCCTGTGGATTCGACCCTACTCACCGCTATATACAAAATCTGTATTTTTCTCGAGTAGGTATTTATTATTGCACAGGTTCGGCACCTGTCACTTTGCGTGCACTCTAGGTTTTTGAAAAGGTGCTAAACCTGTGCAATAATAATAATAAAACCTAACTACCCTCAAGCTGTCAATAATCAATTCTAGGTACCGGAGCAGGGACCTTAGGTGTGCAATGGGTTACTTGATTCACCTTGTTCCTGAAGAGTTTGCTTAATCCTATATACCAGAATTAATTACTGACAAAATTTACTAACTAGTAGACAGTGGTAAGCAGGTCATCTCCTCAG